TGAAAGGTGAAATCCTGGTTTCACTCAAATCATTGAAAGTTTTGCTTTTGCTTTACCCCTGATTTTTAAATGTACCTCCTTGGTCCACTAAACTTCTCCCCCTCTGATTAAACCCATAAAATCCTTGACAAATGCTCTTTTATGTTTAGTTCCTGCTTAGTTGTTTCAAAGAGACTTCAATATCCTTGCCTCCTTTTGTCTCTTGCTGAATTCTTCAATACAGTTCTGTAATAATGCTCCTTAAACTTTGTGCAACACCCATAGGTTGATCTCCCTAGCTCTCCCTACAGTGGCATAATGTTCTGTTCTTAAATGATTTTTGTAGCTACATCTCAACATTTACTGAGATGTGTTGCATTTACTTCATAGCTATTGTCTTGCTGGCAGACAGTTCTATTAATTTATCATCCCATATCAGTTTCCTGATTTGCTGTCCAGTAATTTATGACTATTTAGAGCTTTGGTACTCATTACATTGTCTAGTGACCCCTTGCGAAACTCCCACCCCACCTACTTTTTGTCATCTTGGTCTCTGGCTTGCTTGTTGCTGCAGCAAGTTAGTGGGTTATGTTTCATATGCTATGAATGAAAATCTTCAGCCCAATCAGAAAGCCAAGATAGTCTGTCAGCATGTGACATACCATGTCAAAATGGTACTGGAGTGGCCATGAAGAATGGAATTCAATGAAAAGAAACTGGAATTCAACAAAAAGAAAACTAGAACCTGAAGCAAACTCCAAGCATTAAATAAATAATAAGCAAAGACAAAATTTTATGTTTGTAGCCATAAAAATAACATCTGCCTAAAGAAAAAGGAAATAATTTATATAGCATCAGTTTACTATACATAAGAGAATAGCTTAACTGTTAATGGTTCAGCTGAGGTTTAGAGCAGTGACTCTGTGGGTGATGTGGTACCTTGGGCTTTTGTGAAACCCCTGGGCTGCCGTGAGATCCTTTTAAGAGTGCCCCAGGCTGCTCTGCACTATTAGCAGTGTCAGGTATGCAAACACCTACACATGATTCCCACGTAAACCGAGAGGTTTCATATAGGAATCCATTGCATCAGGAACATTCTAACCGGTTGTGATCTTTTTAAGTTCTTTGCAACAGAAGAATAGCTCTACTTTTCTTCTACACTTATGAAATAAGTACAAGCTTAGAGTTGACATTTTCCAAGAGGTGCCTTGAGTCTAAAAAGATTGAGAGCCACTGGTACAGAGACATCCATTTAATCTACAAAATGGTATTAGTGAGAGTGAAAAGTAGTTGACTCTGTGATAGCAAGGTTTTATCTGAGAAGAGAAAACTGGTTCCCCTATTTGCAAAATATGAGATTTCAAAAAATATCCTATTCTGCATTGGGATAGTAAGACCTTTGGAAGTTCCTGTTTCTGTTCAAACAAACAAACAAAAAAACCTGACAGGGAAATGCCTAGACTAGTCAAGTGCCCTGATGACCAGGGATATGGGAGAACCATATTGGAATCCATCATCTGATTCATTCAGACCAGGAATGTGAGCCTAGAGCCCAGGCTTATAGGTTAGTCTGGAGTGGATCTCTGTCTTTCATGTTGGAACTATTCTACTTTGTATAGTATTCGTTGGGGCAGGATTTTGAACCCAACTTCTTTGGGGTGCTTATACACATAACAAAAATTGGCTGTTTTTGCTGTTTAATTGTGTCATACTGTACACATGTGTTGGGGGCGGGTTACAATTTAAATGAGTTTGCTATGTTGCAAACTAAACCACATCCACATGTAATTTAGTTTGCAATGTAGCTATTTATAACATTGCAGCCTTTGACAGCTTCCCCCTCTCTCCCTGGCTGCCGGAGAGGTGGGCTGAAGGTAGAAGTGGTGAAGGGCCTATCCCCTTTTTAAACTATGTTTTTATTTTTTATTCATGGAGCCTGCACACATCTCCCGCTGCTGGGGGGTGAGCTGCTGGTGTGCCAAGCAGTCCTGGAGCTGCAGGGCCCCCTGGTCCTTCCCTCCATGGTGCCAGCATCCCCCAGGCCACCTGGGTAGGCTGCTACCCTGGGGAAAAGCACCACTGTGGAGGCAAGGTCCAGGGCTTCCTACAGCTCAGGGCCAACTGGCAACTCATCCCCTGGCCATGGTAGAGGCAGGCAGGCTCCACGGGG